CAATCCCATTGTTGTTGTTATGTGCTGTCAAGTCGGACCCGACTCACAGCGACCCCTCCTTGGGTTTCCGAGGCAGTATCACTACGGAAGTAGATTGCCCTATCTTCCTTCTGAGGAGTGGCTGGTGGGTTTGAACCGCCAGCCTTCTGGTTAGCAGTCAAGTGCCTTAGGCACTATGCTACCAGAGCACCCAGCAATCCCATTAGTAGGTATGTATCCTAAAGAAGTGAGAGCCAGGACAAGAACCAATATAGGCACACCCATGTTCATCGCAGCATTATTTACAATAGTAAAAAAGATGGGAACAACCTAGGTGCCCATCAGCAGAGGAATGGATAACCAAACTATGGTACACACACACAATGAAATACTATAGAACACTAAAGAATAATGTAGAATCTGCAAAACACCACATAACACGAATAAGCTTAGAGAACATTGTTCTTGTTGTTATATGCCACTGAGTAGGACCCAACTAATAGTGACCCCTTTGGGTTTCCAAGGTGGTATCCTTACGGAAGTAGATTGTCTAACCTTGCTTCTGAGGAGTGGCTGGTGGATTTGAACCATCAGCCTTCTGGTTAGCAGTCAAGTGCCTTAGGCACTATGCCACCAGAGCTCCTTTTTTTGCCTCTGGAGGGGCTCATTTTAAGCCTACAGGAATGACAAAACTGACCCATCCCATTAGGATCCCATACACCTTATTTCCATGGTTCCACCACCACAGGTTACCATGCACCTTATATACATTACTAACAAGCTATCCAATCTTCTTGATAGACCACAAGTACCTCACATTTACATAGTTCCACCCAGTCATCTAGTGGGTGCCACAAAGACCATGGCTAGAAAAGCCTTACCAAGTAATTCATTGCACCACAAAAAGCAAGAATGTAAAGTTTAATACAGGGACTAAACCTTGGGAAGTAGGAAGGTGATCATACACTAAATTAAGATTACTTACTTTTAAAAATGTTTATAATCTCATTCTGGGAAACAAAAAGCTGATAGTTTGATGCAGAGCTCATGGAAGCTTTCTATATTTTGACTTTTTAGGACAAAGACACTGGCTTTCATAGAGGTATGGGCTGGATTGTGTTTTCTTCAGAAGAAGCGCTTCAAAATGCACTACAACAGGAAAATCATATTATTGATGGAGTAAAGGTAAGTCCTATCATGAGGTTTCTGCATCCTAATTAAATAGGCAGACAGTGTGGAATGACTGACTTTGGAAGATTTATGGTTGAAGCAGTTTAAAAGTGGTGGTGGTATAGTGCTTAGTTCTAAAACGCTTGGGAAGACCCGTTAGTGTTAGTAAGGTATATATAACATGAACAGTGGAAGAACAATCCACTGTGTGACCTTGAAAAGGAGCCCTGGTGGTGCAGTGGGTGAATGCTCAGCTGGTAACTGAAAGGTTAGCAGTTTGAACCTACCAGTCACTCTACTTCTGTAAAGATTAATAGCCTTGGAGACCCTGTGAAACAGTTCTACTCTGTCCTGTAGGTTTGCTGTGAGTCAGAATTGACTTGGGAACAGGTCTGGTTTTGATTTTTAAGTTTTAAATGAAGTTGAGAAACTCTTATGAGGAACAAGGAATATATACTATCCTCTTGAGTTATTGGTGGTGACTTCCTACTGAAAAGGCAATTCTAAAGTGGTAATTTCAGTTCTAATGTTTTTGCAGACATTGCCTTTCTGTAACTATACTTATTTTATTGTTGTCAGCTCCATGTTCAAGCTCAAAGACCAAAAGGTTTGCAAGTGGATCAAACATCTGATGAAGAGAAAGATTTCTGAGACTACTATTCCTTATTAAAGTAAACCTAACTAAAACATTTATTTAAATGTTTTTATTTGAAACAAAGATTTGTGCCAACCAAGAGCTTCCTTTCCCCACTCCAAATTAAAACAGCACAATAGGGCAAACATTCATTAGGTATAACAGTTCCATGTTGTGAACCTCCTCCTCCTCATGGTGGTTGGGGTTACTTTACTTCTAAGCAGTCTTTCTTCTGCAACACTAGCCCCAAACTACTGGTGTAACACAAAGGGAAGTGGTCTTGATTTCTTGTGCTGGACAATATGTTCTATAAATGCTGAAAGGTGAAGCACAAACACAACCCACTCTTAAAAAAAACTAGTTCAAAGTAGAATTTTCCATCCCCTCTTTCTCCTGTAATAAAAAGTAGCATTGGGATATGACACCCAGATTTGGTTTTCATCCCGACCATTTACAAAGTATTCCCCCATATGACTTGTGTCATTAGGGTCCTAGATCATAGTTCATTCATGTTGAAGAAAGGTATTTACTCCTTCCTCCTCTTCTTGCCTTCATGTTCATGTTCCTTGGGGCGACTGCTGTCTGAGGGTCTTTTAGAGCCACCATGCTGTTTGGCTTCTTCCAAAAACTTGTCCAAACCAAAAGGATCTTCTTCAAACTGAACTGGTCCTTCTCGGCCCCTCTGCCGACGGTCTGAACCAGAAAACTCTTTATCGGGGACAAACCTAGGGAAAAAGATAAAGCACTATGAACTACCTTATTTTCATTGATGTAAATACAGAAACTGAGTTGTATGCCTTGGTACCTGTTGGTCTTTATTCTGGCTTCTAGGTCATCACCATACATGTCCTTGTCCAAATTTTTACTGGGCCTATAAATACTCTGGGCCATATCTTTCCCACCTCTCCAGGCTTGATCATAAACATTGTAAATTTCATCTTCTCCACCTGCAAAACCACTGTCCATACCCTGTGGAAAAATAAATAAATGTATGTATGATGATTTATTCAGAGTTGAATCTGATCACATTCATGTAGCCCACCCTTCTCATTTATAGCTCACATTTTTCAATAGCTCAAACTTCAAATTAAAAAGTTCTTCATTAAAAAAAAGACACAAAGTCTATAAACTTGTTCATGTCATCCTTGAGTCTTACCCAAGCCTTAGATTAAATAAGGTAGTCTTAAGTTTGCCTACTTTGCAAAGTTATCTTTAAAACTCTAGGGGTTGCTACTATAAGCAGGTACTTAACAACTGCAATTTATATAGACATGGAGGTAAGAAGATGGAAGAACTATACAACATTTTTCTGATGCCATTCAGAGCAGTAACATGATGCCCCTTAATTGCTCAAGATCATCACTATTACAGTATGGGACAATCAGGCTCAATGAAATCTTAACAAGAAACAAATGTGTTTCATGTATTTGCATATGCCTTTTTTAGAAAAATTTTCATCCCGACTTTTAAATGACTTAAGCCTGTAAGAACTGACTGTCTTGAAAATAATTTACTTATGTGGAACTTTATCTCTAACCCACTTTGTTTAGGTTCCTTCCACTAACTGAGAAGGTCCTGTTGCATAGTGGTTAAGAACAAACTTTGGAATGAAGGCACCACTGATTTAATTCCATCGCTTACTAGCTAAGGGATTAACCACTGTGTGTGTCAATTTCCTCATCTATAAAATGAATGCGATTCATAGGGTTTTTGTAAGAAATAAGATAATAGAAGTGGCGTAGTGCTTAAGGCATTTGACTGCTAACCAGAAGGCTGGAGGTTCAATCCCACCAGCCACTCCTCAGAAGCAAGACTAGGCAATCTACTTCTGTAGCGATACTGTCTTGGAAACCCAAGAAGGGGTCACTATGAGTTGGAACCGACTTGACAGCAGTGAGTTTGGTTTGGGTTTTTTTTTTTTTTTTAAAATAGAGAAAAGACCTAGAACAATGCCCGGTACATAGAAAACACCCAGGAAATTTTTATTACATGCAGTTTGTTTAACTGTACTCTGCTTATTGTGCTTTGCAGACACTGCACCCCCCCACACACACACACAAATTTAAGGTTTATGCCAAACCTGCTTCAAGCAATTCTATCAGCAGCATTTATCCAACAGCATGTGCTTACTTTGTGTCTATGTCACATTTTGGTAATTCTCATAATATCTCTAACTTTTTCATAATGCTATTATATACTTTAGACTACAGTATAGTGTAAACATAACTTATATGTACCATGAAGCTGAAAAAACTGTGACTCGCTTTATTTAAAGCTTTACTGCAGGGGTCTGGAACTGAACCTGCAGTATCTCCAAGGTATGCTTCTATATGAAAAAGCTGGCTTAAATGCTACCTTCCAATCTTCCTAAAACCTCCAAGTCATTAATATTTCCCTCCATATTCTAGCAGTAACTTACACTTTTATACTCTTACCACATTCTGACTTTGTCTTAATATATATGTCAGTTTTCTCCAGTAGACTGGGGGTTCCTTGCAGGCAAAGGCAGCATCTATCTGATCTCACAGTGATTTAGGCACAGTAAGTAAGCAATGTTGGGTGAATTAAAATACAAATGTACTTATTTCAGAGCTAACCTGTCCTAGTTAATGACAACCAGTACTAGAAACCAGATTTCCTGACTATCAGCCAGGTACTTTCATCCAGTTTTACAGTTTAAATTTTTAAAGACTCCAGGTTGATGTTTTTCTTTCATTGGGTGCCCTCAAGTTGATTCTGACACACAGTGACCCTATGTGGCAAAGCAGAATGTGAGGTTTTTCTCCCATAGAGTCACTGGGTGGGTTTGAAACACCAACCTTTTTGTTAGCATAGCATAATAAAAAATTCAAAGATCAACATAAAATAACCCAGGAAGTATTATAGGACACTTGGCTCTATTCTAAAAATAAAACATATAATAATGATTCACATACCAGAACCAAGATTTACACCCTAATTTTCATTTTCTTTTAGTGTCTCAAATCCTAGCCAGCCAATTGTAAGAGGGCAGTTGTTTCATTTTACCTGTTTTTTTATGTTACAATCTGCAACTTCTACTTTTTTCTGTCACCCTGCCAGCATACCTTAGGGTGATCCAAGTCTATAATATGTTAATTTTCCTTTCCCTGAGGACTTGTACTCTTGCCAGTATACAAGATATGCTGTTTCTAAACTTTCCATACCTTGGATTGGTTGAAGAGCCTTTGGTCATACTGAACTTCGTTGGAAGTCCGGGGATTGGGCACACCAAGAGCAATGACTTCACTGATATCTCGATTTTCATTTCTCTGCAGCTTTGACCTGTTTTGAAATACAACATCACTAACAGAAAACTCTATACAGACAAGCTGAATATTTCAATTTAAAGTCAGCCAATCTCAGAAGGAAAGGAAATGAGAATGTCATGTTCACATCTTATGAACACATATTCCCTGATAATACATAATCAGGTTGGCAGCCCTTACAGTGTATCAGATATATGATTATTAGAGGAGGTAGGGTTTACAATTTGGCTTTCCTGTTAGCTCAAAAGAATAGCCAAGACACTCATTCTTGTCATGGGATTCTTTAATACAAGCAATCACAGCACATGCTGCGATAGCAAATTGCTGTGGTCTACATTTGCTATTGTATAAGGGGGACAGAATGCAAATTTGATGCATTATATGGATCCTTTTCAATAAACTAGAATCAGGTCTTTTTACCAAAGTGTAGTAATTTTATTCTCCTAGAATTTTAAGAAAAACGTGCCAATGACTGGATTGGTCAATATGATTTCTGACATTCAGACTCAGTTCCCCTGCTGTTTCTGTGTGAATGCAATCCAGATCACAATGAAGCCACAATAACTGTCATCATTTATGTCACTTAAGTTCAAGTCTTAAAATGATTGCTCTAGACGGTGTGATTTTCATTCACTCGCAAGTTCACAGTTGTTCTATGTTATCAACTCTCAGAGCCATTCGTTTTAAGGTCCTAACTTACCTACAGAGCAACTTTATTTGAAATTTCAAACCAAGGGTGTCATTAACGGTACACTTTCACACTTCATTCCTGTTTCGTTTACAATGTACATTTACCCAAAACTTCATGACTTCACCTATCCAGGGAGATGAAAAATGCCAAGTAAAACAACAAACACCAGCAGCAATCTCTTTTCATGTTTAAGACCGGACTTAGAAAAAAACAGATTGCATCAGCTCATAGGATTATCAGAGCATGGAAAAGTGCTCGTTTGTGAAGAAAATGTTTTATATTTACATTTAATTCCCACTCAGAATTCTACTTCCTTACATTTCTCCTCAACTTTTCAGCAATCTCATGTCCTTAGTCTCTGGGGAACCACACACTTCCATGATCCCTACCTACTTTATTCTATGTTCCCATATGTGTGTTGAGTTTGTTCTATAAAAGTTCATACTCACTAAGAGTGCTTTGTACATTTTCTCCAATCATTTTATGAGACAGCTCTATCTTTCTGAATTTTAAGTAAAAGTGCTCAAAAGAACAGGCTGATTTTCACTTCTTTGAAAACCCACTCTTCTCCCCCAGTACTTCACCGGTAAAAGGATCTCAGTAAGGTATGCTGGCCGATTTCCTGTCCAAAGGAACAGCACGCAATACATTTGTCGCATCATTTGAAGTAGGAAAAGTCAGATCACTCTCCTCCACTACTATTCTTTCACAAACATGATCTGAGTTTCCTTTTCTATATCCCCATCATTATGAATTCCAACTGACTCTACAAGGTGATGGAAGCAAATATAACTTGCAGGGATAGTCAATTCTTCTGCTAAGACAAAGTAGTTAAGTGTAAGAAAATAAATACTAATTCATTAATAATCAAACTCAAGAGGGAAGGGAGACAAGTGCACTGAAAGGTACACTAAGAACACTTCATAATTTGTATTTATGTCAAATGGCACCTACCTCTTATCAGGAGCTGCTCTGGAAAGATTCCGGTCATGCTGTCTCTCCTTCCGCCTGTCGTGACGAATTTCATCCCTTTCACGAG